GCGTCGAGATTATGTTTGGCTGTCTCCCATCTCCCCATTACCCCCTGCCCGGGGGCGTTCACAGGCCACTGTGCACTCACGTACCCAAGTCCATATCAGCAGCTTTGGGCCGGTGGGAGCAGGGCACGTTCTTGAAGATGGCATCGAGGATCTTCTCCTTGACCTGCGTGATGGTGTCACAATTCAGGATCTTCACTGGGATCTCGGGGCTGTTCACGTTGTCGGGGTTCACGCAGCTCAGGACCTGAGAGAGAGGCAGTGAGACCTACTGTGCACTTCACAGCCACACAGGTACCCTGTGGCCGCCCTTCCACAACCACCTTCTTGCAGGTTCTTGTGTCCTACGAGCCAGGGGGATTACGGGGCAATAAGGGGAAAAATGTGTAGGAAGAGTCTTCCCTCCCTTGAGAGGGCACAGAGATCTAGTTTCACGCGGGGGGATTGCATGCATCCACACCCCTGACAGCACTGTCAGCCCCTTTCCGCTGTCTGTGCCCTGTGAATTAAGGGTAACTCAGAATTTGGCTCTCATCTAAGTGCTGTGGGCTTCCAGATGCTGCAGACAGTGACTTGGGGCTGATGTGAAGGTGTTTCTGAACTTGTGTCTCATGCCACTTGTGTCTGTGAGGTGAAACTACTATACCTGTGGGAACAGCCCCTTAAATTTGAGCCTCATCTCCTTGGCATCTTCACTACACTTAAAAACAGAAAGCCCATGAATACAGTTCAGGTTCTCGTGCTTTCAGTAAAAATGGCATTCACCCAAATGGTACCAGGCGATGGTCATTGACACACTCTTTTCATAGAAATGATTAAAAATGCAGTCAGACCTGACCCTGGTTGGAGCTGAACTGATATCCAAAGGGCTCTTCAGAACTTTCCTTGGCCTCTGACCCATTCCATGCTCCCTAGAGAGCTGGCAAGGTGACCTAATTCAGTAGTAACCTTCTTGCGCAGCCACCTGACTTTGACAATTCAGGTAAAAGTGCTCTTCAATCTCTCAGCCTTAAGTTTGTCCATCTTCTGCACAGACACAGACCAAGACCCGTCTCAGAAAAAATGGTATTAATTTGAAATGCAGGGCTTCTTAAAAAGGGAACACAACAACAGAAACTTTTGCTTTCACATATAGAACAAAGAAAATTGACCCAATGAGAGAGGCCCCTCATTTCTCAGAAGGAGAATATAATTTTCTCCAAAGACTCTGTCAAGGAGTAAATGCAAAGCATATGGGGTGTTGAGGGACGGAGGGATGCCTTAAACACATACACACAGTGTTTAAATCAATCTGTCCACTACCTCGTGGCCATGTCTACATTGAGCTTTCTGCTCTCTTCTGGTTACAAGAGTGTGAAGTCTATAAACTTTTATAAACTTAGCACACCTTTGCACTTGGAAGGGGTGTTCAGTGAAGCTCCTGGTTATATACGGTCATTAAATGTTCCTGTGCCATTTTTACAAGTGCAGACATGTTAGTTTTGGTGCCTTAGACAAATTCTACCTTGACTGTAATTCCCTTCTGTAGTACACAATAGGTACTGGACTGTCCATCACTTTCCATCTTAACCTACTAAGATGCAGTGAGATCTCAAAGTGGCTTGAAACTGGGTGAAATGATATCAGTATAATTATATATTGGCTCACCAGGCTCCCTTTGGTGCTGTTATGCTCAGCTAAGAGGGACTTGTGAAGATATTGTTTACAAAGAGCTCTGTGATCTTTCTGGATGAAAGGGGAGATGTAAATACAAGATATTGATTAGATCATAATGCTATTATTTATATGTCACTTCCAGGAGTATTGAAGAAGCATCAATTCAGATAATAATAACAATGGCACAGATTTACAGTTCTGTAGCAACTTTCATCTCAAAGGATCACAGAACTACACATAAAAAGCACTGTTGAAACGCATCCAGTGTTGAGGTTATTAGTTGCCCCCTTCTGAAATGAAGCAGTGATGGCAGGCTAGGACAGCTCTTTTGGAGTATTACAAGGGTCAGACATGGTTCTGGAGACCAAGTTACTCTACAGGTCTGTCTCAGTGATTTGAGCTCAGCTAAGGTGGACTGAGTTGTTGCCAGTCAGAGCAAGCTCTGTGGTGTGATTCAACTGCGATGCAAACACCTGGCGTTTAGTTCAGTTCCCCACATGAACGTACTTAGTGGTATTTAAAATAATCTGGGATACCCTACCAGGCATCTAGCTGCTGGCCCAGAAGGGGCAATATCTCCTGCAGGTGCTGACCAGTGCCCACCATGCCAGTACCCACCATGCAATGCAGACCATCATCTAGTTGGAAGCTGACAATGGTGATTTGTTCTTATAACTTGGTTGTTCTTGAATTTCACAGCGTGCCAACTTTGGAAGGTGGCAGAAAAACTCTTCCTGGATGAGCCATGATCATTCATGCTCTGACTACAGTAGTCTTTGCTGTTCTCTTTTCCAGCTCAGTTGGAAGAAAAAGGAGCAAGGAAGGCAATATTTCAAAGGGTTGTGCAGAGAGAGGTTTGTTCTTGGTGGTCTCAAGCACAGAGGGGGGCAGCTGGTAGTAGCTGCCAACTCCTGGACACCAGTGTGTTCTTTTCAATGACAGTCAAGAGGCTCCTTTCAACATTTTAGGTAATTCAGTCATTGTTTATAGAAACCAAGAACCTTCCCAGAGCACAGTGGCTTTGACATATATGCCTCAGGCTTCACATCAGCTCTCAGTTGGTGTTTTTCAACTGTTCTCTTGTGGAGCACTAAAGTGTCCCAGTAGAAAGACTTCAGGAATTTTGCAGGGTGCACCTGTGTATGGCGCACACTAAATGGCTGTTCTTTGGAGACTGTCATGGGCCTTGTAGAAGTCATCTTTATACCACAGGTTGAAAATCTCTGTTCCTCTTCCAACAGACTAAAGCTCCTAATCATAATGAGACGTTTGCAATGGAGCAAGAGATTCCTACCACTTCCATGGGAATCTTCCTAAGGGTTTCCTCTGTTCTCCCCCCAGCTTTCTGTAAATTGTCCCTGGTAGAAGGTTACCAGCAGAAAAATTCTAAGCACTGGATTCATCCCTTTAGCAGAGTTCAGATGCTCCAGTCTCACTGGAAGAGTAAGGTTTGCCCTGTGCTTCACCCAGCACTGTCCTAATAACAACCCGTGTAAGACAGAGGACTAATCCCATTGCTACTGCAGTGCTGCCCACCTATGTCAACACAATCTTTGATGTCAGCCAGTGGGAAAGAGACTCCTGAGACGACCTGTGCATTATACAACTGCATGATCAATCACTCTGAGGGAAACTTTGGGATGCCGATCTCCTGAATGCATTCAGTGTTACTGCTCCATCACCCACCCCACCTACCTTTGAGTCCTGTGGGGCAGAGCTAGCAAGGTGGATGAAGAGAGGAGACTTCAGTGTCACTCAAGGAGGTGTTGAATGTTTTGCCACTGAGGAGACACCAGCACTTGGCACCACTGTTTTATCATGCTTTGAGGTCTGTGTCAGCGTAAGGAAGGTGCCAGTTGTGGGGTCAATATGGAAAGGTATGGGGCTGGGAGTCAGTGAAGTGGTAATCTCTGAGCCCTGATCTCCCACTGACCTTGGGGCATGTCATGCCACTGGATTTGTGTTTATTGACCTTTCTCTACATCCTTGGGCTTTTTTTTTTTTTGTCTACCAGCCCTTCCAGCCATGAGCTGTCTCAAAGTGTATGTAAACATGCAATGCTTAGGACAGCTGAACCCTGATCTTCACTACGGATCACTGGCATTTCAAGAACAAAGCTTGTGATTACTCATACGGGGACCCTGGCTCTGAGTTCTCTGCAGTGTTTGAGTGATCTGCCCTGAGACCAGGACACTGCTATGGTTTCTGTCCCGGGGACAGACATCTTTCTCTCCCTTCTAGATTGGGCGAAGGGAAGTCCAAGGTGGCTAGCACACAAGAGAGTTTTGGCAGTGTGCAAGAAGGAGAAAGACCCCCAGAAAGGCCAAGCATGGGAGATCTGGGAGAGCCTTTATATCTTGGTAATCGCTTCCTCCCTGCCACCAAAATTCCCTGAAAAGCCTTAACCAAAGGCAGCTCAAAGCATCTTTATCCATCTGGAATATGTTGTCAGGAGAGATGATCCGAAGTGTGCAGGGACCACGCAGAGCATGCCACTGCTCAGGAGGTACTAGGCAGCTCCCATCTAACACCTCCAACCACTAATTAGCCAATACTCTTGACAGCTTCCGACACACATCGAGGTCTTTGCTCCCCCGCATTATTTGTACCAACTGACAATATATTTGAAGCTGACACAGGAGATGGATGGTCTTTCATCTCCCAGTGACAGCAGAGCAGTGGCAGTGGAGAGTGAGGTTTTGCATCTGGACTCTGGTTAGGTAAATGGCTAAAAAATCATGGATTCTGGCGAAGGCAGACGGCAGTCAGCGGGGATGAGATCTTCCTGTCTTTCATAGGTGGAATAATCTAGCTGGGTTTTTAATAACACTGCAGACCAGAGACGATGAGCACTGACTGCTAGCAAAGACATTAACACAAGAGGGTGTTTCTCTGAGGTGTACAGCTTGGGAGAAGACCTACTGTTTAGTTGCAACGCATTTATCCTAGCAAATCACATCTGTAACTAACTTCGTTTCTACTGTACTGAAAAATCCCTCATAATTACAGAAATTGTTATAGACGACAAAGATCCTAGGACATTGAGGCTGCTTCCTTGGAGAACTGTTAGGACCTGGCAAACAGCAAATTGGAGATATCTGATTTGGAAATAAATCAGATTGAAACAATCTAAATTTAGTGAATGAGGTGTGTATTGTAAAATCAGTAATTCCAGATGTCTGAAAGTGTTCTGTCTTCTTTTTTCTCCCTGGATAAGTCAATTTCTTTGGATCTGCTTTTCACTCAAACCATATTTGAAACCATGACTTAAAATATTTGATCATGATTAATGAACGCTAAAGAATAAATGCTTTCCAAAAGAAGCCCTGGCCTTGTATTCCTGGAATAATGACAGTAAACAGCCTGTTTCAATGTGCCACGCTGCTGGGACTGTGATTTAACTCAGTCAAGCAGTCATCTAGCACTCATGAAACATGAGCAACCCAATGAATTTTAGCCACACACACTAAAAACTCAGCGATGACCAGGTAGGTGCATTTGGTGGAGAGCAGGAGACATTGAGGGAATTCCTATGTTACAAATACTGAATCAGTTCTTGCTTTATTTCGTTACTATAAATTTTTAACAAAAGATGACAGACTGCTTAAGGAAGGTAGAGGAAGGACAAAATAAAACAAATAAAGAGAAACAGAAAGGAGGAACAATCCTATTCATATTCTGCTGCTTCTTAATCTCCTTCACCAAAGCTGATCTCAGTAAATCTGCTGAGATTCCTATCGGGATATATTTGTCTGCTCTTGAGATGTAAGAGGGAGAGCTGATTAACATCAAATGACACAAAGCAAATGGAGGATAGCTTTGTTCAGGCTGATGTATAATTACTACCCTTTGCTGGCTGCTTTATATCAAGCCTAAAAGGATCGGAGGGATTTCCTTTGGTGAAAGCGATCACTCTGTGTCTGCATTTTTCTTCCTTTTGCTCACTCTCCCTGTGTGAGATCAGGCTTCCAAATTGCTAGACAACCACACGTAATAGAAAAGAAGCACTATGCTGCTGATTTAATAGGAAAGTCACGTTTCTAATATGCAAAATAAAATTGTGGTCTTATTTAAGAATGAAGTCTACCCCCTCATCAGACTTGGATTCAACCAAAGCTCAGCTCTAGACTGGTTGTAGTTACTGAAGAAGAGCAGGCATTTCTAGTGTCAGCCCACCTGAGCTAAGATCTAAGACAGGTCAAGAAACTAACATTGGACACAGCTGCCAAAGCCAGATAAAGTTAAGTTAAGTTAGATGAATGTCCCTCTATTGAAGGTGCAAATAAAATAATCTGATAAGTTTAGACCACCTTCTGACCATCATAAAATTTGGGGTTGGGGTTTTCCAAGAACAAAGACAGGGGAAATAAAGAAATTACAAGGATCATTGAAGACTTGCAAAGTATTCTTCATCCCACAGAGACTTAGAAGCTCAGTGGATTTAGTGTATCCAGGAAAAAGTGAAGGCCCACAAACACACTAAGAAGAAATATCTAATGCTCTTTAATTGGTGCTCTTTAATCAAGTAGAAAAAGGGTGTAATCTCAGAGCAGAAGCTAAAGCTGGACATATGCAACGTATATCTTTCACCATGTACATAATTACATTTTGAAGCAAATGATTCCGTGGCAGGGATTAATCTTCTTTCCCTTGAAATATCTAAATCAAGTACATTTTTCTTTGACTTGTTCTTCCTCAAGAGGAATGGCTGCATTAGCCCTAGAGAAGACCTAATAGGTCAGGCTGTGCCCTGAGCTGGGTGTCTCTGTGACCACAAGTGTTTCATGGCCAAAGACTCGTGCCTGACCTGCCTGAGCTCCGCGCTGGGGACACCCCGCATGGCCAAGGGCTGCTGCCCCGGGCAGGCACTGCCCAGCAAACACCAGGTCTTGGTGTGCCCAGGCTGGAGCTGGGCAGCTCTGCCACTGGTGCTGGGGACCAGGGACAAGGGAGCAGGTGATGGGGAGAAGGGGGATCAAAATACCCCCAGGTGGTCCCAAGAGTAAGAAGGAAGAAACCTCATAATGAACATCAGACTCTTCCCAAGATCTCAGGGGGGTGATAACTTGCAGTGACAACCCCATCCTTCTGCTGTAGAAAGAGCTTTTACTTGTAACTCAGAGGGGTGTTGGAAGGGTGGACATCACTCTCAGGAAAAGGGGTAGGTACTAGGAAGTATTTTGTCTAACAGAACAGAGTAAATTGCCCATATCTATTGTCTTCACATTCATAGGCATATTCTCGACACAAGGTTCACGCTTGTCTTCCAATGTTCCCAGACCTAACCTAATCCAAGCAATGGTAAAGGATTGGCACTGTTAGCCTACCCTGCAAGGAGTGCAGATGCTTTCAGAGAACAGGCGATGCCTTTGGGGAGCTGGAGTTACTCTGGGAATGGGGCAGGGCACAATGGAAGTACCTTGGAAGCAGCTGTCTTTGCAAATGTGCTTGGCAAGCAGGTGCTTCAGCCACAAACCTTGCTGTATTAGGCGATGTGACTAGTCAATCTTTAGCAGGGTTACCCTGCTGGGTTGCAAGAATAAATTGTCCCAGAGGGTCAGCATGCCCATCACTGGCTTCTTTTCTCTAAATCTCCTTTTGCTAGAAGAGGTTGAACAAGCCTGTAGGAAGGTGTGCTAAAAGAACTCACCAGCGTCTTGTAATCAATCTGCTGTCGGATAAGCTTGTCCTCACTCAGTGAGTACCGGGCCTCCCCAGTGATCGAGTCGATGGGACCCTTTTCCATCTGCTGCTTGATGGCACAGAAAAGGGAGAACAGAGGTTCACCAGCACATTCCTGCAGGGATGAGAGACAACCACGAGGTGAAACAGGAAGAGCAGAGGTGAGAACCCAGCCTACATGGCATCTCAATGACTGCCACAGCTTGCTGTCCCCAACCACTTGAGACAGATGCATCAGTCTATTCTATATGGCCTAGGAATAGAGGTGACCCTCCACTTCCACAGAGTGCAACCAACCCTCGCGAGTGTCCTGTTACGGGCCAAAGCTCCCTGGCAATGTTGGGGCTAGCAGAGCCTTGTAGGAGCAGTTCAGGTGATGGCCACCAGGACAGAGCTTTGCACTGGAGCAGGTGGTGGGATGGGTCCCTGAGGACCTGGAGACGGGTCTGAAAAAGAGATGGACTGCTGGTGCCCCATTCTGGGTTTCTGGGCAGAGTCCACAGTCTCCCTGAGCACTCTCATGCTGGAGGCAAACAGGGATGCTCAGGCAGGAGCAGCTCCATGACCCAGGGGAGTGGATCAGTGATGTCAGATGTGTGGGGCTCAGCACAAGACGGCAACAAGCAGCCCCCAGGCAGGGCCAGGAAAGCACACCTCTCCCTAATTTCCCATCATTCATGCTCACTGCACTTCTCTTCCCACACTTTTCCTAACCTCTCTTCCCTTGCTGCCCTCCCTCTGCACATTTGCTGCCATGCACCCCTCCTCATGCTTCCTTCTATCGCCTCCCTTCCCCTTCATCTCTCCATCCTTCCTCCCCACCTTGCCCTCTCCTCTTGCAGCGTGTCCCAACTCAATGAGCGAGGTCATTTCCGATGGTGTAAATCCCAGCAAGAACAAGTTAATAATCTGAAGCAAAGTGGTCCCTTTCTCGGTCCCTACACCTGTCTCCCACTTAATTAGCTTATCTGCCAGCAGCATATTGCTTCTGTGAGCCTGTCTCTTGCCCTTATCAGGCCTCTGTTCAGGCTAAGGCAAGAAGACAAGTAGCTGAGTGGGGTGAAAAAAGCCTATTATAAAAGCAGCTCTTTAGAGAGTCACCTCCTTATATCCTTTCCTTTCAGCTGAAAGCAGGAATCTGATACTGAAGTCACTGAAATTACCTTCCAGGGACCTTCAAAACTTTCCCATGTGTTCATCTTTGGACTGGTTGTGTCTGGGAAAGGCTCAGGGGAAAGGGATTGATTTGTAAAGCCTTGAATTGCCAGACAGAGAGTGGCTATTCTGTCCAAACAGGGCTGTGAGGTGTAAGGATACCTAGCAACTGCTTTGGGAAAGAGGGAGAGGTGCAGAGCCCAGCTCCTTCCAAAAAAGCTGGCTCTGAGTTTGGTGCCTTGGCATTTAGCATGCTTCAGGCTCAGTGTGGGTCCCCAAGAGGAAACTGTCATCACCCAGCAGTCAGTGGCATGTCTCAAAAGCTGAAACGCTCTTTTTTTTACTACACACCACCCCAAGGAGACCCTCCAGGAGGAACAAGAGGGCTCAGGGGGTGTCTCAAGTCCTTTCACTCTTTTGCTGATGAGTGTCCTGCAAAGCCAATGTTACCTCCCACTGGGTTACGAAGCAGCAACAGCCTCGGCTCGTGTTGGGTTCTAGATGCAGCAGTCAGGTTTACACAGTGTATTGCATCCAGCCCTCTGTATTTAGAGGGTAGATGGACATGCCCAGGGCAGGCTTGAGGCAGCCTTATGCCAAGAAGAGCTTGGACTCAGCCCTAAATAAAACTAAGCAGGGATCTGGCTACAGTGTGGGTAAAGCAGATTAAGTATGATGGAGGCACTGGGCCTCAGTACTGCCTCTGAACTGGGGTTATGGGAGCTCTTCAGCCACTATGCATTGAAAATATGGGTCATCATGTGATGGAGGTCTGACTCTGCTAGTAAAAGGAGAGCATTTTCGATATAGGTCTCCACCAGCCTCTGAAATCATCACGTTTCAGCACGGACCCTTAGATCCCACCTCTGTACAGCAGTAAGACCAACAGGCTGCCTCTCTAAATAAGTGTCCTCTTTGCTCTCTCTGGATCAGAAAACAGCCTTCTCCTGTTAGGCAGTGAGCTCCCTCCAGAGAAAAAAAACTTTTCCTGTATGTCTGGGAAGTTTTTGCCCTAACATCAAGAAGAAATATTTTAAAGCAGCTGTTCATCCAGGCTTGCTGCTCCTCTTACCTTGAGAAACTTGTACAGAAGGAAGGTGAACCAATTGGTGAGCATTTTCTCAGCCACAGACTCTGTCCTAAAACCAGCCAGGGAGAAAAAGCAAATTGGAAATTAGTTAGTCATGCTGCTCATATCAAAGGGCTAGTCAAAACATTGGCTTTGTCCACCTTACTGCCCAGATATCTGAGCCCCATGGGAAGTCTGGCATGACACCATCAGGATTAAGCATGTCTTAGGTTCTCTGGTTTAGCTTTGGATTTAGGAAACCTGCAGGGATATCCTTATCACCCTGTTGATTCTCCTGTGACTAGGGAATTCCTTCTATGCCTGTTTCTCAGTTTCTCCATCAATGAAAGGGAGATGACAATGTTTGAGGGAACCTTCTCAGAGGAGCTCAGGGAGGATAAAACTATCAAATATGTGGAGCTCAGAGTTAGGCCACATATATAGTAGGCTATATATATACCTAGGACAGGCAGATCTAAGTGACCAGAGAATAATTTTCTGGCACTGAATATCTCCCTGGCATTCAGCACTGATTATGCTCCTTAATGTGTCAATGTGGCGCATCCTTTTGCCCTTGAACACTCTGTCCTCAATCAAACAAACTCCATCTCAAGCCTTCAGGGTGAACTTTTCCTACAGAAGGATTTACTCAGACCTGTAAATGTGGTGTGGACACCAGGAGCACAGGATAAACCTGTGTTGACTCCAGTACATGCACTGGTGTTGCTCAAGAAGAAAGAAAGAATCACTGCCTGGATGAGTAAAAGTGGGTCTTCCTTGTCCTGGCTATCACCAAAGCCACCCAGGGGTTCTCACTTAGGGCTGCAGCTTTCTTTTTAGGTTT